GCTGAAAGAATGGAAGGAGGAAGGAACAGATGCGAAGAGGAAGAGAGAAATGGAAAGAGCAGAAAATCAGAGAAGGTAGATAGGCAAAAGAAAGGAAGCTGAAAGAATGGAAGGAGGAAGGAAGAGAAAAGGAGGAAGGGAGTGAGTGAGGAAAGAAGAGAGGATGGAAGGAGAAAGGATGGAAGAGAGGGAAAGAGCCGAAGACGGATAAGGTGAAGGTAGATAAGCAAGAGGAATGAAGGAAGGAAGAAGTGAGGTGTCTCGAGGAGGGGGAAAACATTTAGTGACCAAACTTACAAATTACAATGGCATTGAAAAAAGTGACTGATGACCATTTTTCACACTTAGCGACCGTTGCGACCATTTTTCACACTTAGTGACCGTTGCAGCATCCTCATGGTCATGTGATCAAAATTTTGTTTGACAACAGATTCGTATTTATGATGGTTTCAGTGTCCTGGGGTGACCTTTTGACAAAATATAAAATTTTTAATCAACTCCCCCTCCCCGTCAATGGTGTCCCTCTTTACCAATCTGAAAATCTGGTCACCTTACACATACCAGTGTGCCGGAACCCGAAAGAGAGCAGCTGGATGGTGCACTTGGACATGGCAGCCAGCTGCTCTTCTGGGTTCCGGCACCCACATGCCACTGGACATCTGGTCTTTGTGCAAAGACCAGCTGGCCGGCACACATGAGCAAGCCAGAATCCAGAAGAGAGTAGCTGTCCAGGGCGCATGCATGTGATGGAATCCAAAAAAGCAGCTGGTGATGGCATGTCTGCCCACAGAGAGGGCTCTGCATGCCACATCTGACATGTAGGTTCACCATCACAGGCCTAGGTGTTGAACAGGAGGCCCCAGAATCAGTTTCTGGATATTGATTAAAGTAAAAATATGCAATCAAGATCATTCAACCATCCAATTCAAGAGGTCAGGGTTGTAGAATATCACTGATTGGTCTAGGAGAATCCATAGGGCACATTTTTCCTATTCTGGAATAGCTCAAGACAACCAAAGCAATCATAGCAATTTAAATCATAATTAAAATAAATTCAGATAATCAACATTATCCAGATCTATCTAGTTACAAGACTACAAAAGCACCATTACCTACTTATTAAAATGGATTTACTTTGACACCAGATAATTGTCAGATGAATCCAAACTGCTAAACATCTTTAGAGTTTACTTCTTTCCGCTGTGAGGAATGTCAGTTTATACATTTCTTCCCTTGTCATCAGAAGAGGCCGACCTATTTCACTTCCTATGTAGTTTCTTAATCAAACTGAAATTTGTACCCATTTACAAATAGTTTTAAAAAGGATACAAGAAATCTATTTTTCTCCAATTTGTAAATATTCCCAAATGTTCATATGCACCCAACAATGCAATCTACTTACAGTTATGGCAGGTGGTTCCAGTGTAACCAGTTTCATTACAATCACAGAAGAATGTTGTCCAAGATTGGGAACATTTCCCTCCATGTTCACAATAGTTTGGTAAACATCTAATTGGGAAGACACCAATAAAACAAGGAACTTTAGTTTTAGCAGATGGGGAAACAAATAACTTTTTTGCTTTACATTTCTCTAAACTTCTATATTTGGCATAGAAATGGGGGAAATTACTTTAACTCTGTTCTTAGCTTAAAAAAATACTTTTAGAAAAAGAGCTTGCAGGGAACTTATAATTCAGAAGGGAGCCCAAATTGATACTAAAATACAGGGCAATGGTTTGAGAGTAGAGAGCCACTTTTCTTCAGTATCCAAGCAACAATAATGCATATTTTATTCTACTTTCAGATAAGAGAAATGGATATCAAGTGAAAAGTAGCGCACAACCTTTTAACAAGACTTCTTTTTAATATTACTTTTTTCAATTTTCACTGTAATTTCAGTTGATCATATCAGTATCTAACTACATATTTACTCTGTACAAGCACAAATGGTCTATGAGTAAAAGGACTTTTTTTTTTAAAGAATCATATTATAATTAGAATGCTTCCTCATTCTTTAGCCTTTATATTTTCACAATGAAAGCATAGAAACACAGCAAAAGGTAGGAAGATAACAAAACACTAAAGAGCGCAGTTCAGCTCCATGGTGGTGCAGTGGTTCTGCTGACTGCCTGTTGCCAGCAGTTCGGCAGTTCAAATCTCATTGGCTCTAAGTTGACTCAGCCTTCCATCCTTCTGAAGTTGGTAAATGAGGACCCATATTGTTGGGGCAATAGGCTGATTCTGTAAACCACTTAGACAGGGCTGTAAAAGCACTGTAAAGTGGTATATACATCTAAGTGCTATTGCTATATGAACATGGTCACATATTCTACTCTTTGCATTTAGTTATACTGCTCAAACTGGATTTCCCCAGCTAATTTAAACCTAATAATAAATGTTCCTGAAATATAAGTGGATACAATTTTGGTCCAGTTATTTTCTGGTAAGAATTTGAAACACAAAGGGAACATATCCATAGCCAGTTTCATGAGCCGATAAAAAGTATACTATATAAGTGTGCTCTGCCTACGTAGCCAGTCCCTACTTAGTAACAAGGCTAGAAAACATGAGCTGTGCAATACTTTAAGATTCATAATTGATGGATTTTGCAGCTGGCAAAAAAAAATATCTACCAATCGCTCCCCATAATATAGTGAAGACTACGGAGGGAAGTAAATCTTGACAATTGCCTTCTATCAGAACCTTTCTGGTTTACTTTAGAGGTCTGATCTACAATTGTGGTGCTAATATTATTACTGAAGGAGCTAAACTACACCAACACTTTTTTCAATAGCAACTGTGCTGTTATTGCTAAAGCAAACAGATGTTTTCCAGTGTAAGGCTCCAGTGTAAGGTTGCAAGTCTCTGTTGTAGCCTGTCAGCCACCGGTCGCTCCATCAGCCAAATAAGAGAATGAGGAGGAGAAGGCATGGGAGTCAGGGTCAGCATCAGGGCAACCTGGGAGCTCTGAGGGGAAAGAGGGAATGGAGCTGGCAGAAAGAGGGAGACAGAGGCAGAGTCCAGGCCATCCATCAGCCCTCAGATGGAGAGTCAAAAGCTGCCAGGTCTGGAGGTGGTTGATGAAGAAGAGGAACAACTGGGTTCAGTGCCTGATGCAGAGCTGTGCAGAAGGCAGAGAAGGGGAGAGCAGTGGAAAGCTGTGGGCTAATCCTGGGAAAGGAAGAGTCACTACTGCTAATGAGGCCTCACCCTAGCTCTGGGGGATAAAAGGCAGAGGACGGAGATGTATAGGTGTAACAGACAGCTATTCATCTTCCACCTGGACTTGTTAGCCCGTGAGATAAACTTTTTGCCGGGGCTGCTAGCATTCCGAATAAAGGAATCTTCTGAGTTCACATCAGAGGGTTTGTCATGTTTGGGGAGCTGGGTCAGAACAGTCTCTTCAAGAAAGCAGAACTCTTGAAATGAACGGCATTTCAAAATAAACTTTTATTGGAAGACAGTGATAGTAGAGTGTGTGTAGGCAGAATCTGAATTTTGTGCACTGGAGCGTTTGCTTAAGCAGCTCCTTTTGATGTCCAGTTCATCTTTGAGCCAATCCCAAGATGCAAAGATGTTGTAAAAACTTTGGGATGAAAAGGTGATAACAGGCAGTTCCTGGGTGCCACAATCTTGCTCCTCCAGTAGTGAGACAAAACAGATGGCCCAAGGCACATTCTTTCCCCCCTCACAGCATCCCCAAAAGTACATCAAAGCAGAGAAAAGGGACAAAGAAAACCCCATGCATCCCCAATTATCCTCCCTCCCACCAGTATGGCAAGGTCCTGATAGAGATCTATGGGACCTGACATCCAGCTCCGGCAACTTTCTGTAATGTGATCTAGCACTTAGAAAGCTCCTGGCCTACTACTTTCTTAGTGATATAGAGAGGTTGTTTCTCTAGCAGCCTTGGTTTTAGTAGATAAAGGAGTAGATCAGAATATATCTAAGCCTTTAGAGATACCCTGCTTCATGGGTGTTTCTAGAAATGTTGGTGCTGCTGCTCTTCTCCTGGTTTCATGCCAGGAAGCAGCAAAAACTAAAATAACCATGGAGCAAAGTTGTCAGCAACTGGAGAGGATAGGATATACCCACAGAAGCTGAAAGAAGCTAATATGAACTGCTGCATTATCACATGGTCACAGCCATGTCGTGAAAAGAGCAAGGCATGTATTGAGAGGTTAAAGAAACCACATCAGAGCTGGTCAATTAACTGGTTGTGGTTGTGGGCAGGAGATAGGGGAAAGCTTCACTGTATGGAAGTGTCCTTCAAGGATGGTTACACATATAGGTTCAAACCAAAGTTAGGGGAAAGTTTAGATATGCCCTCAGGGATATATTTATTTTTAATGCATGTGAGGGATGTAGCTGGATTATTTTTGAGGCTCTTTTTCATGACTCCCCTTTCCAAGGATTGAGTTGCCTTTTATCTTTCTTTAACTTCCTCTTCATAATGTTCAATATAATCATACAGACAACTTGTTAGATTTGTCCAGTACACCTAAGAGAAATTTTAGGTTATCTTTTAATAAGAAAATAGCTATTGAAACACACATCTCTTTTGCATCAAATTTGTATGCAGAAGTTATGCAGTCTTAGCTTTTATCCTGAGTACTGGCTAATTAACCCTTATGGAAGCCAAGTCCATGCTAAAAGAACAAATTAGGAGCAATCATTATCAGTATGGTGGAACCAGTGTTCCTTAATTGCAGTATACTGCCAAGTGTTAGATTCTGCAAGTCCTCCATTAAGCTCTAGTCCTGAGAATTTATTAGATTTGTCTAGTATACGTCAATGAAATTTAAAGTTATCTTTTAATAAGACAATGGCTATTAATACACAGTTTCCAATCTCTTTGGCACTCCTTGTTTTCTCCAATTACTTTCATATTTGAGGGTAATAAAATTCAGTTTTATATTCTTTATTTTTTGAAGGGATGTTAACACTTCACTTACATTTCAAGTTGCAAAAAGCCATACAATTGTGCAATTGGCTTGGATGTGCTACATATTTTTTAATGTCAAATATGTTTGATAATGGGTTTTCTGCAGAAATCTACTTTTTTTCCTTATCTATAATGCTGCAGCAAATACGGCACCAAACAGGTGCACATTCCAGACTTATCCTTCTCAAGGCTGTATCCCATGGTTACTTACAATGGCCGGAAAGGAGTGATCTCTATAACCCATGAAATTTCCCTGTTGGGGAATGTGATTCCACACCCTGAGGGGAGGGTGGAAACAGGGTCATGATTGGGGCCATAAATTAGTAGGGTCAGAGATGGCTTCACTTGGGAAAGTGCCGACATGAAGTTCCTAATAAATGACTGGATTTCTTTTTAAGCTTGGCTCAAGGCTCATGATTTAATTAGGGCATCCATCAGAACCCTGACATTAGGAGTGAAATTAAAGGATAAGCTTAGAATCTGTACACAAACAGTCCAACCCCCTTGAATTATGTTGAACCTTATCTAACTCCAAGCAGGTGCTGACCATGAGTTGAAAAGATTCCCGCACATTGGGATTTTTTTTAAGCAATAAAGCAATTCAACAGCACGTTATCCTGTGGACTTGGTCTCTCACATCTGACAGCATGATTCTGTTTGTAGACAACCATAAATAAAGAACCAATCAGAAGTAATTTGACATGTTTTTCTTGATTCTTTGGGCTTGACAAATGAATGGCTGCCTCTTTAGTCTAAAGTGGACTTCTATTCATGTCTACTAATTATGGTCCACTAACACATGGTATGTCTGATCTACCTCCTATTCAAATGTACATGAGATGTGACCCAAAGAGTAAATCCAAGCATGCATGAAGATATAATGACTATGACCAGCATGTACCATGCCACCCTATTTCTTTTCAGTACACAGATGAGAAGAACTTCCCAGATTTCAAAGAACGGAAATTTAATCTGTCTCTCAATATGCAAAAGGTGGGGGGTCTCTCCAATGATTTGAGTAAAACATGAAAGGCTTTGGGTTTGGTTGCCTGAAGCCACCCTTAGACTTCACACAATTAGGGCTCAGATAACATTACACATATATGGCACATATATACCTTCTAAATATGCAATAACTTAGACTGATGCCCAAAAAATGATATAATTACTTTGTAAATTGCTGCATATGAAATATAATTTTTTTCCTTATAATCTTTTTAGATTCCATTTAGAGCAAAAAGCATCCCAAGGCAGGATTCACATATAAAATCACAATATATTTTTTTTACAAAAAAAGAATAATAAAATATTAATGAAACCAATAATGGCTAAAACTAGAAGTTAAAAACACTTATTCCCAATAAAAAAAATCAGACCCAATTTTAGAAGAACAAAATGGGACATGTGAAAAATAAAAGCCAATTCAGAATAAGGCTTCAATAAATAAATAAATAGCCCTGCAGGGTGTTCTTCAAAGTTGGCTATGGTATGAAAAAAACAAAAATGCTGGCACAAAAATATTATTTCAAATGTACTTTCTTGTGAATTTTCCACTCCTGAATGT